CAACAATTATTATTATTATTCTTATTCTTATTCTTATTATTATTATTATCATTATTATTAGTATTAGTATTATTATTGTTATTATTATTATCATTATTATTATCGTTATTATTATTATTATTATTATTATCATTATTATCATTATTATTATTATTATTATTATTACTATTATCATGCTATATTTCGAAAGCGTTGTCGTCACCCCCCCTACAAACAGAACCTTCACGAAGAAAGAGATGCACGCTTCTTATTCAGTAATTAGTACGAATATCTTGCCATTGAACGGTTTGCCATGTATTTTATATATATATATATATATATAGATTATATACATATGTATTGTTACTATACATATTTATTATTATTATATATCTATCATGCCATTGTCTTGATTACGCTTATTTCATTAACGTTGCGCGTTAATTGTGAATAATTATTGTCGAGATACGTCTAATGCAGCCACATCTTATGAGAAATTATAAACAGGATGCTTTGAATGGTGTTTGAACTAATGAGATTCAATTTTGGAAATAAAGTTAAAAATATCTTTTTTTTTTCTTTTTTTTTTTTTTTTAATGAAATTCGTTTTATTCCATTTCATTTCTTTAAACGTAGTTTCAAGATTTATTATTTTATATAATGGTTGTTTTTATCGTAATTATTACATAAAAAATTACTTAATATATTTTTTATTACTGTTATAATTAGTATTAAAAAAAAATTATTAAAATAAAATTTCAAAGATACATTTATTTAATATTATAAAAAGTAGTAACAAAAAAAAAAGATAGAATCATTATTTTCATTTTTTTCATAAATTCTGCATGAAAAATAATAAAAAAAAAAAACAATTTCTTTGTCCTCGTTATCTCCAAAAAATATCGAAATTATTTCAAACAAGATTCATCGTGAAACATCCTGTATATTATTTTCTGTACCCTAAACCGCTTAAATAATTGAATTATTAATTTATCTTTCTCCCCATTTTTCTATGCATCTATTGTTTTTTTTTTCTTTTTTTTTTTTTTTTTCCTCAATTTTTTAATCGCACTAGTCAAATCTCTCACGGTTATGGACCGTTGTTACGTAATGTCCGAACGTATATTGCATGTATATTAATATTAATAGTCCCTGTATTAGCATCGGTTGCGTGTCAATCTCGCTTCGAATACCATCGAGCCACCTCGAGACTCGCGAGCCTAATAATATTATCTTCGACACGGAAACACAATTTGATCAATTTTGTCGTACAAATTTGATAGAAATGGTGATTTTAACGTGTGAAAAATGCGAGTCGAAAACGTGACGTGAGATTTTCTCGTGAAAAGCGTCTTGGAGAAAATTTGATTTCGATATAGTAATCAATTTCTAATTCATGTATATACATATTAATGTAAATTAATTTTACAGTCTAAAAAATTTTATTGCATCAAATTTGATTTAATCATTTTAACATTTAACATTCAATACACTAATGCGATGTTGCCTAGAGAAAAATAATAATTTTAAACCATCATTTACTAATCTTGAATTTAACAAAATTAACTTACGGAAACTGATTATTTCGAGAAGAAACATTTACACGAGTAAAAATTTCGTTCCAAATTTTCGACTTGCATTAAAAAAAAAAATCATCATCCTTTTTCATTTGTACGACCATTTTTAGAGATTACCATCATACACCCTGCATATATCTCAACCCTCTTTTTTTCACGCGCGATTCTTTTAAAACAATCAACTTGAATTCCATAAAAAAAAAAAAAATGACAATGGCGTGATCCTCCAAATTGAACCGTGGCAGAACACGCGTGTTTTAACAAGAGCAGCTAAAAAGGAGAGAAAAAAAAAAAAAAAAAAAAAAAAAAAAAAAAAGAAAAGAGCCATCTCGCAGTAGTAACAGTTTTTGTCAATTTTCGAAACGATTCTCCACGTGACGTGCAACACTTTTTTCTCCTTCCACTCTCTGGATACTCTCCAGACTATTCTAATTTTACCGCTGTCGCCAATCGAAAACATGGAAACAATCCTGTCGCTTGCATAGAGAGCTTCTGACGCATTACGTAACCGAGAAAACGAATAATAATCAAAAAAAAAAAAAAAAAAAAAAATGAAAAAAAAAACAAAAAAAAAAAAAAAAAAAAATTGAAAATATAACGTATAAAAGTAAAAAAAAATCGGGGCCAAGAATCAAAGATGCGTGCCCGCGGAATCTCCATATTTTTTTTTCTTTTTTCTTCTTTTTTTTTCTTTTTTCTTTTTTTTTTTTTTTTTTAATGCAAAACGCAGGGAACAGAATTGACAAAGCTTTCCATTCCAAAATCAAAGAGAAAGAAAAAGAAAAAGAAATAATAAGAAAAGAAAGAAAGAACAAACCAGACGATTCATGGTTGTCCGCCATTTTATACCTCTCACACGAAATCTCTCTCTTCGAAATCGAATAGAGACCTATTAGAATATCTCCAAATACATATATATATATATTTTTTTTTTTTAAATACTCTCCCATCTCTTAACATTTTTATCACATGTTTCCTCCATGTTTGAAACTTAATTTATTCGTGAGCATATTACACACATATATATATGTAATATATATATATAATCAGCTCTGTTGTTATGGTTGCGGAGTCGCAGTTGAACCTAGTGTTGAACTTATTTGCAGTAGAATATTATTAATTTTTGACAGCTTTTATACGAACATTATCCCATTTATCCACATTTTTTATACGAATGCCAATAACCGCTGACTTTTGTCCAGCCACCACCAACGGGGGCGGTTTGGTTCGCTGGCGTGGATACCCATCCCGCCCACCGTGGATATACTTTGCCAACCTATCTCTCTATCTGTCTATCCCACTTTCTTATTCTATTTATATATCTATCTATATTATTCTCTATTTTATTTACGTAGCTTTAGTAGTGAGTGGATGTGTGTGTCTTTTTTTAAGTCTTGTAATAATTCACGCACGCGAACCAAAAACCCTTTCGGCGGTCCTCTCAAGTCGGCTTTTGGCAGCACACGAATTGCTTGGGTGATGAGGAGGGGCTACGTTGTCTTACTCGCGATCCTCCTCCCCTTGAACGAACGACCACGTATACAAATTGCGTGAACTCTGTTTTATTACCATCTGTTGAAAAATCTCGCGATTAATATAATTTAAATCGGGGGAGGGGGATTTTTATCTTTCTCCCCTATTCTTTTTTTTTTTTTTTTTTTTATTTTTTTTTTTTTTTTTTTTCTTCTCTTGTTTTCTTTTTCGATATATTTCGCGATATACTCTCAGGTATTTTATCGCCGATCTCGGCGATAAAGTGATGAAAAAAAAAAAAAAAAAGGAAGGAAGGAAATATCGAATCGAATCGGGAAATCTATCGATCGATCACCCAAGCAGAACGAAACCAACCCCCCTTCTCCCGGGCCATTATTTGCATGACCAGACTCTGTGTTTGTAGCAAATTATCTCTTACGCAGTTGCAAAAGTTATTACATAGTTTATTATTCTTACTCTTGTTATCGTTATTCTTCTGATTATTATCGATTAGTCCTCGTTATTCTATATATATATATACTATCTGTATCCATCATTATTCGCTATTTATTATCATTTGATATATCTTGTTTATCTCCATATATCGCGTAAGGATTGTTCGTTTACAATCATTTCTCTGTCTTTTTTTCTCTCTCTCTCTCTTTTTTTTTTTTCATCAATATTATTATTCTCTGTTGCAGTTTCTAATTGGTTATCGTGTAACACACGAGAAGAAACTCGATCGGTGATCGCTTTATAAATCAAGAAGAGGTTTAATTCCAGTTGCAGTTTTTTCTTTTTTTTTATTTATTTTTTTTTATTATTTTTTTTTTATACTTTGTACAACTTTTTTTTATTTATCTGTTTTTTATTCATTTCAATTCCTTTTTTTTCCCCTTTTTTTTCCTTTATTTACACGTATATTTTGCACGCTTCTATGGTGAGCCTATGGTATTACTTTTTTCGCCCGCGAAATTTAAATGTTTTAATTCTCTGTATTACAATTGATCTATTAAGCAAACGATTCGTTTCTATCAGTTTTCCTTTTCGTTATTATTTTTTTTTTTTTTCTTTTCTTTTCCTCGTTGATTTTCT